GACAAGAACGGGTAGACCTGGTGCCAACCGCAAACTTCAGCTCTTTCTTCTGCCTGCATTGCTCACGTTTTTCTAGTGGAGATAGCATCATTATAAATGTCAAAGCCAGGAACCTCACTTGAAAGCCAGGTTTGAGCTGTATTCTCTTGTAGGTAATACAATTCTGTGCAACTAAAAAAAACAGTGCGAAGCCACAGAAGCACGTACAGAAATTCTCTTCTCTTCCCTTAGATTAGAACAGAAACAGGAGAATCTGAACTGGTCACCGCAAGTTTGTCGAGATTCTTAGATTAGATGCTGATATGGTACAATATTTGGTCCCTGTTGATTGTTCTGGAAAAGAACACTTTTTTGCCCCCTAAGTCTTGTGTATTAAGAATGGCTGTTATCCTGTTTAAAAACCAAAAAAAAGCTCCATTTTGTGTGTACGCTAGTGAGCACCGTTCTCTAATCTGTCGAGTCAGAATTCTACTCTTCTTAACTCCTTTTGGCTTTGGGAAAGTAGCAACCCCTCTCTGAGCCTCGGTTACCTGGTTTGCGTCACGAGGCTTGTGTACTTTGCTCTTTCACTTTGCAAAGCAGTGGTTAAACGGTTTTTCTCTGGCATGCTTGTCTGCATCTCTTATGGTTTTTCTTGGCCTGGTCCAGCATGACGTGTTGGGCCTAGCAGAATTTTAGGAGTCCCCCTGTTTGGTCTGGAGAAATATTTCTGTCACGCAGTGGAGTATGGATTGGACTGTGTGCTTTTGGGATAAGCCTTATGAAGATGGAGCTATTTTCTTCACTCCCTTTTTTTCCCCCTCTTCCGTCTCCCCCTTTTTTTTTTTTTTTTTGCCAGAGGTTGATTGGTTCGTGCCGTTTTGGGAAATCTAGAGGTGCTCAGAGCAGATATCCAATTTGTGTGCTGTGCTAGTGCAGCTGGGACGTAAACCTTTCAGAAAGCAGCTTCCACAAATAAAAGTTACAAGGTTCTGATGTTAAATTACTCTTACCAGAATGTGTTTTGAGGGGTTCTACAGTACAGGCCAGCAACAGAGTTTTAATATTCTGTGGTTCCTAGAAGCTATGGGAAAAACTATGTGGAAGATCTTGCCTAAGGCTATCTTGCGTCCCTTTTCCCACAGATGTGTGCTGGTTTTGCTTTGAGTTCTGTGTAGGTGATTTTTTGGGAATTACAGTCCAAGTTTGAGTTTTGTCAAGTGTCTGCTAGAGATTAGGGCCCTGCTTCTGCAGAGGGGGCTGGGGACAAGAGGGATGTGTTCAGGGGCACTGGCTGCTGAGGCCACCAGCACTGGCAGTGTTTGGAACTGGCAGGAGCCTTGTGCAGCAAGATGGAGCTGGAGAAGTATGGCAGGAGGTAGAGAGACTCTGAGCTGGAAGGTCTAGAACTGGGAAAGGGAGAGGAATTCAGGACGGGGGGCTCCTACAGGAGGGAACGGGTGAGGGTGGGCGGGGGGAAGAAGTGTTGAGGGGGATGCTGTGCTAGGAGGTGCTGGGACGTGCCAGGGAGCTGCAAGGAGCGAGGATCCCTGAGCTTAAGGAGGATGAGGGGATCTGAGACGAGAAGGGTTGTGGTTTACTTAAAACATTCAAGCATCTGAGTGATTTAATTCGTTGGAGGTGCAGCTGTAAATGTCTAATTCTGTTCCCCCTTTTTCTCCATCCTCTCCTCCTGATCTCCGATATATGGTGCTACCCCTCAGGACAGCCTTTCACTTTCAGTCCAGCAAAGGGCTGGGTCCCTTTAAATACCAGTCCCCTTACTTGAGCATTTTTTCTTCATGACTCTTTTCTCCTGTTTTGATGAAGCGGAGCGTAGTTGGTTCGCTTTATTAAAAATACGTTTCTCTTCCATCCTTCATTTTGACACCTGCCTCACTGCCTAAAAGGAAATAAAATGCTTATTGGCAAGAGTCTACCATTGAGTATATGGGATAATAAATACTTTCTTCTTCCTAATTACCTTTGAGATAAGTTTGTGCCTAACGCCTTATTTTGGAAAAAAAAGTGCTCTGTGGCTTCCTGTCTTCCATTTTGCAGTGACATCTGAAATATTTTGCGCTTTTGGCACGTTTCAGCAACAGCAATTGCTATATATTCCTGGTTGTTAGAGAACAAGCTCCTCGCACACTGAAAGAGTAAGAGAACAAAATTTAGAACACGGTTGACAAAAGGTATCGTGCAGGACGGTGTCACGGAGTGAGGGAGGCTGGCAGAAGGGAGAAAACAGGAGAACTGGGTCCTTGGAAAGAAATCACTTTAATCAGGAGTAGAGACTATTCAGCTTTTTGTAGCTCTCTCTCAGCGTTGTGGGGATTCTTTTGTCCTAGAAGTAAATGGTTGTGCTATTTTTCTATGCAAGTTCTTTTTCCATGCAAACCTGAAGACCGGATGACATAATGCCACAGAAACTGCTGCTGAGCAGCAGCAGCAGGTTCTCTTGGCCCCTTTCCCTCATCGTCCAGTTACCCAAGGGCTGAATTATATAATGAATGACAGCCCTCATAGCTAACCTTGTTTTCTTGCTCTCAGTACTCCTCCTTGTTTCAGAAACATCCTCTGTTAGTTTCATTATGTTCTTGGAACTGGAATTAAGAGGGAGGAGCTGGCTGGCAAGGAAACCTATTCCTGTATTTCACTTCTGGGCCTAAAAGTATAGAGAGTCAGCAAGTCAAAGCTTTTTTTTTTTTTTTTTTTTTTTTTAATATTGGAGGAGTATGCTTTGGAAAACAGTGAGATGTTGGGAATGAAATGTCAGTCATGTGTAATTTGAAAATTCCAGCCTCCATCTGTTTGCAATACAGATAATCTGGTTTAAAACTACATTAACTTCCTTGTCCTGTCCCTTGCATATCAGAACTTGCTTAGAGGAGTTCAGAAATGTCAGTTTCCAATGAAATTTGGAAACTTTTAAAAATTTGTCTGTTAAAACTAGACTCTACAGTTTATGTGTTAATACCTTACTGTATATGAATGAGGACTAGCTGATTGCCTAATAGCGTTTGTGTATTATCTGCTGTTACGCAGGTGCTCATCTTATAAAATGTGTTAATAACTGGTTGGTATTTATAAGTATCGGTTTATTAGGCCTGCTTTGAGTCTACATTTGCATCTAGAACTCACATTCAGGGCTAAGCTTTGATAGCTGCATATTCTGTGTTTACTTTCTGTGTTTACTTTCCATGTGTAAACTTACAGTAGCAGGATCCCTTATTTTAGTTTACACACACTTCAAAGGTTGGGTCCCAATTCAGGACGCTGTTCCTGATCAAGATTGTTCTTAAACGTGCACTCTAGGCACAACCGTGTTGTTGAACCGAGGCTCAGCTCCTGCAACGCGTGTCTGATTTGTTTTCGTGAACCCATCTTCCCTTGTGGAGACCTTCAAAGACGTTGGAGCTTTGATCAGTAATACTTCAGACTTCTTTGGAGCTTTTTATCTGTAGATTTCAAAGCGCTTGATGAAAAGTGGGCAAATGCCATCAGGTGCCACTCTGCAAAATGAAGAAGCTGAGGAAGAAAAATCTAACTGACTGGAACAAAAATCACAGAGTGAGTCAGTGCTGGGAGCAGAATTCAGGTCTGTTGGCTCCCCCTTTGGCATCGCAGCCACGGGATCACAGTGTGTCGCTGTCCCAGAGGCTGTCCTGAGCTGCTCTCTGCACACTGTGTTCTCATCTGCCATCAGACAGGAAACACAGAAATTTCATTTAAACAAAGAGTTGACAATTGCAAAATGAAGCATTCAGAGTCAGTAATTCCTATTTTGTTTCCCTCCTGCTGACTTCCTCTCATTGTTTCCTCCCCTATAAAACAGGGGTGACAGATTTCACCTATTTTGTTGGAGGAATAATTACTTTTTATCCATCCTGTATTATGTAAGAGCCCAGTGTTCTTCCAGAGTTGTCAGAGCAGGCACTTGCCTTTGGATGGGAAGAAAAGCAGCATGTTCTAAAGAAAAGATTTCAGCATGAAATCTTGAGCTAATATTTCTCCCTAAAAAGGGAAAAATTAATGCTTCCGATGGTTGTTAAAAGAAGGGTATTAGGATAAATTTGTCAATTTCCTGTAAAATATGTTTTAGAGTGAATTTATGGGTGTTGAGAAGTTCCTCTTTGACAGATCTGTAGAACAAGATTTCATATTGCTGTCCAGAACAGGTACAGCAAAGGCCATAAGAAGTTGAGTTAAGAATAGGCAGTTGGAAGCTGCTGCCTTTTTTTTTTTTCTTTTTCTTTTTTTAAGGTCAGTAAGAGAAGTTTTACTTAACTTCAAGAATAGTTTGTCCTTTTTTTTCCCCAATTAAAAACAAAACAACCCAAGAGAGAAGTAGTTCTGACTGAACTTCTGCCCTGTAAATCTTGTTGTTTGGCTTTAGTGCTCTTTCCCACGTTCCTGAGAGAAACGGACCCTCTTGCATCATGACACTATTTTGGAGGTTTTCTTCCTTCAGCTCTTCCCTTTGTTCCTGAAGGAACACCTGGGTAGTCTAGAGGCTGGAAATAGTATTTTCTTCCTCCAGGGTATGCCTCGTTTACTCTATTTTGTCAGCGCACTTTCTCTTTGCTTGAATCTCTCCGTACAGCACTTCACATAGGTTCCTTCTCTCTATTGTTTCAGAGTCTTTAGTCCCCCTCGTACTTGGATATTGCATCTCCTCTCAAGCCCATGCTTTTTCTAATTCAGGGGTTTGCTCCAAACTGCTGGTCAGACCAGTTGGGACTTTTTGTAGCAGCTTTCAGGCATCTAGGCTACCCAATCCTACCTGCAAAAATTACTCAGTAAGTCTCCTTGGGTGTCACCTGTCCAGCTGTGTACTCATTCCTCTCCTCTCTCCCGGGAGCGTCTGACAACGTCCAACACCTGTCTGGGTCACTAGGCAGAAGGGAGTCTTGCCCCGCTTGTTCCTGTATCGTCTCTGTCCCAGATACTAACCCTTCTCCAGGACCGTCTTTTTCACTGTTTGATTATTTCACATATTCTGTCTTTAGGCACCCGGAATGGGGTAATTGACCTTTTGGGCCATCTCTGCATACCCTAGGAGCTGGCCTGCTGTTACCCTGTTAAATAAAATCAATTTAACAAGTAAAGAGAATAACCTTTTTCTCTCTGATCTCGGTCACATTAGTTCTAGGTGTGGTTTTAACAACTGTGAACAAAAGCAGCCACTTCCCTCCCAACAAGTTCAAACAGATGATTGGGGTTTTATTTGTATTTTTCTCAGTAGATGATCTTTTATTAACCAAAAGAGCACTGTGTGTGCAAACCTGACTCAGCTGTGCTGTTTGTTCTACCTTTTGCATTTCACTCAGCTTGAACAGTCGCATTGAAAACTAAATTAGTGTTTTTAGATTTGTCCATTATACAAAAGTAACAGCTTTGCTTTTGCAGATCTTGCTGTGAGCGTCTAATGTGCTTCATGGAAAAGAACAAAGCCAGAAAGGTACGCTCCGTGATAGAGGTACCTACCTGTGTTTGGTGGAGTGAAGGCATATGCATAAACCTACTTGTTTTTATTTAGAATTAAATGTCCTCTGAAGAGGTTAAAAGCTACCACAATGGCTACCTATGGTTGAACGCACAGCAGCTCGTGCTGTTCAGCTGGCGTTGCTGGGCCTGCTCTTACTGCCCGGTGTTCAAAGGCTGTTAAGGCAGCCTTATTGACAAAGCAGGGATGAAATGTCCTAAAGTCATTATTTCAGAGCAGTGACCCAAGGAAACAGAGGAACGGTTGCTGCCTATTAAATGCCTTTTTTTTTTTTTTTAAGCTCTTAGCTGAGTAGATTTATTTTTTTTTGGGGGGGGGAGTGATTAAAAACCTTTTGCTCTCCTAGTGGCATTGTTCGGGGCAGCAATTTCTTTGCTTCTCAGACCTAGTAGTTACAGTCTGAGAATCTGTTTTTCTTCATATTGCTGATATGGGAAATGGGGAGGTGGAAGGGGAGCGCCAGTTGGTGTGTGTTTCAGTGAGCGCTTCTGTAGCCTGGCCCATTTGCCGAGTTGCTTCATGGAGCTTTCGAAACACTTGGGTGAGCAGAGATCCCACAGTACCTCCAGCTGTTGGGGAGGCAGGTTTTCTCTTGCACACTTTGTACTTCTGATTCTTAAGCTTTGGTTAGGTGATGGCCATCTCTTTGTCCGAGCAGCCAGCATATCACCAAGCTATAAGTGCTACTTGACAGAGCACAGCATGCTTTCAGTGGGAAGGTTTCTCTAGAAATACCACTGGGGACTAAAAGAAGGGTGTGCTCCTTCTGCCGTTAGTCTCCAGCCTGACTGATCTTATTCTGACAGCAATCTCTTCCTAGCTTCATTTTTATTCCATGAATTCACACGGAGGATAGCAGATGTGGCATCTTATTTATTTTTTTTCCTTCTGCCTCAAAGTTGCACCGTTTGTGGGGCAGAAAGAAGCTTCTGAAAGAAATGTGGTGACTGAATTCTGGTCTCTCCTCTACAGCACCAACCTCTGCTAAAATTTTCTTGGAGAGAGAAAATGGAGTCTATTCATGCACTCTTTAATGTCAGATAGACTTAATCCAGCTTGTATTTATAAGGACTGAGTTTCTTCCTGCTTCCAGTGCCATACTTATAAATGGTGCAGCATTTCACGCCAAGTGAATTGCTGGATTCTAAGTGGCATCTTGGTTAAGAGCCTTAATAGCAGCAAGTATTAAATGAACCATAGTGCATAAACACCTCTGCTGACTCTCGGGGTGCATCTTTCAAAGGTGGTAGCAGCAGCAGTAATTTGAGGAAAGAAAGTTGTGTGGAAGCTTCTACCACAGAGCAGTCGAAATCTTCAGGGCTGCTGTTCCAGCTCACTTCATGTGCACGTGAACATGTTCCCTAAAGTGGGCTTGAGAGGATAATTGCTCATTCTCCCCTCCCCACTTTATCCCCACCTTGATTTCCTAAACTGCTAATGCAGCTCTTCTGTCATGAAATGGCAAGCTTAAGAATAGGTACAGCTACACAAGTCTTGTGGGAAGAGCTGATTGTCTCTGTGCATCAGATCTATAGCTCCTATGGGGAGCCAACCAGAAGTGACTGAAGCAACCATTTCTACTCTGAATCGTGCCTGTAATACAACAATAAAACAGAGGCGTTTGAGGAGGCAGATAGGTAACAATAGGTATAATAAGAGTGTGTAGAGTGAGGAGTTCCAGGGTTATGTCCCTGTCTCCAAGGTAAATTTATCTTCAGAGTTACAGATGATTTCTCTTCTGTGACAGCTGAATAGAAATTGTTAGTTGACTGTATTCGCCAGTGCCTACACAGAGCAATTAAAGAGGCTGCATGGAGTGATTCAAGAGCATGATGTTCATCAAGAAGGATGTAGCCAAAAAGGAATTTATTTAAAAACTCTAAGTGGTAGATGCTCACAAAGAAGAGAAGACACTAGATGCTTTCTAACCTGTTATTAGCCAGAGCTGCCTGAAGATGACTCTCAGTGAAGGTAATATGAGTGCTGGGATAGGCTTGGCCGCCAAAGGCCGTGGCTCTTCGTATTGAGTGACTGCCTGCTCCTAGAAATGCACCATGCCGCAGTTTTCCTACCCATCTGAAAAAAAAAAAAAAACCCATAGTTTAATCAGCAAATAAACTGCTTGATCTTATTGTGATATACAACTTTTTTTTTTCCTCTCCAAGAACGTTTTCTAAAAGTTAATGTGGCTAATCTGCATGTGATACCACTCTGTCTTGAACATGGCACATGCAATATGTAACAGTAGAAATTCTCTCTTCCGCCTTATAACTCCCAGTTACTGAGGAGTACTTATGAGTGGACTTTGTAAGAAACAGGCATGCTCTTAGTCAGGAATTGGTGTATGGTGGAGAAATTGAATTCTTAATATTTGAGGCCTGCAGCCATACTCCAGCTCATTTTTCTTTGGTTTGCAAGAAGGGCTTGACAAACGGGAAAAACCACCAACAGCAATATTACACTTCAGTCTGTCTGCAGTTTGCAGGAACTGTGCTACTTGCTGTTAGACTGGGTAAGCACATTTGGCAGCATATGGGCAGAAGCCCAAGGGGAAACAAGTTTTGAGAACTGTTTTGACCAGCTTATATCCCCCTGCATGTTGGCAGGGGAACACTTCTTGGATGAAGTGGTTGTTAAAAGGGCAGCCTAACCTTATTTTATGTTGTAGACTAGATAGCTTGGCCTGTAAATTCAGTGTAAGCTGCCATGCCGGGTTTCAGAGCTTACTTTCTAGGGATACAAATGGACCAGTGGATTCAGAGTGATGCAATCTTACTTTCAAAGAGGTTCTGAAAAGACAGACTTATTCCTGCTTTCTGACTTAACCAGCTGTCTTGAGAGTGAATTAACCTGAACTATAAATATGTAAATACTATGTGAGAGGAGGGAAGCTGCTGTGTCTTTGCAAATGGCAGTAAAAATCTCAAGAAAAGTCTGAGTGATATACTGAGCATCCTTGCCCTGCAGCCTCCCACTGAAGTGCAGGCTGCCACTGAAGGTGGGATTTCATTTCTCTGCTCCTTTATGCTGTATAGTTTAAAGTTGGGATGATGTTTGAGCAAGTGGTTTCGCTGATCAAGGAAGCGGTCTCAGCTTGACTGGAAAGATGTGCTTCATTTCTTCAAAAAACAGCCCATCCATCTGGGTATATGTCATAGATGCCTTGCATTTCTCTTTTTTTAATTCTCTGTTTCTCTGAGCAGTGATGTGTCTTACCAAGAAGGAAGCAATCGGGGATGTAAATTTAACTGACCCTAAGCACCCTTTGGTACAGTTGGGACTACAAGGCTTCACCTGTTGGATTTTTCTTATCTGAGGTTTCTTATCCCTGTATCTTGGAAAGCCCTAGGGAGATCTCCCCTGCTCTCTTGTCCCTCTCTTCAGGAGTCACTGTTATATGTGATGGATTACGATGGAAGTGGTGTCACTGCCTGCTCAGGATGAATGAGCACTGTGTCTCCAACCTGCAGCACTCTGGAATACAAACATTGGCTCTGCAGTTCTCCACATTTCTTATTGTTGTAGCTTAACATAATCTTTTAAAGTATTTTCAAAACTATTTTTTTGTATCTGTACTTGGTAGTACCCTCTTTGAAAATTCTACAGTAGATCTCACTAAATTACACAATTCTTTGGTTAACTTAATAGTGAACTTACGTTTTTTGCTGTAAAATATGCTGTATGTGCAAGTTACTTCAAGTAGAGTTATTTGTAAATGAAGCAAATTGGTTCAGTAGGTCTAGTTCATTTGTTTTTTTGAAAAGATCGCAAAGCTGCTGACGTGTCGTAAAACTGAAGTGGTTTTTCAGCGTGCACTGGACTAGCTACTGAGAGTGTGTAATGTCACCAGGAATTAGTGACCTCAACTTCAAATGTGATATGTATTGAAAAAACAGGTGCCTCTTCTAAAAGCTGTGAGGCAGAGAATTGAGTGTTATTTCAACACCCACATTCTTCTATGTGAATCACAGCCATGGACCCTTCTTGCTAAGACAAGATGACATGATGTATTTACGCTGTCATTGACCTGCCAAAGGTGTAATCTCAGCCTTGATACCAATTTTTTAATCATCCTTGACATCAGAAATGTAATTTGCTGTAATGAATGATCGTGTCCTCTAGGCACCTTCCCTCTACTGTATGTGCTACAGAACCTACCATAGCACCAATATGCTTCAAAAAGACAACTACTATTTCAATATTCAGTTCGTCTAGGGAATGGTATAGTCTGCCTAAAGAATAAACATATTTTTTTCTCTTCTGTAAGCATTAAAGCTACATTTCAGAATCATTTGAAGAGAGGGAAGGGAGGAAAATTAATCGGTTTGCAGAGGTCATCGTTGCTGCCGTCTTTAAGTGTTATATAGTGCCTGAATTGTGCTCTGTGACCGAGTGCCGTATGTAAATATGTTGCACTTCTACTCAGTTAACTGGAATCTAAAATACAGTGCAAGAATTGCAAAGCAACCTTCTTCCCCTTGCCCCCCTGTGAAAGCAATGAGAACAGACCTTGCAGAAAGGTACGTGAAAGTGTTCCACTGCTGCTCACCCCAAAGTTAACTTTCAGTGCACCGCAGACAAAGCTAACACATCTGCGCTCTCTTTGCAGTGACGTGACACTGGATCAGTATTGTAGGGAGATTTATAAGCTATTGTGCTGGGCTCTGAAAGTCTCGCTTACGTAACATGACTAATGCATTGCCCCCTTTTTTTTTTTTTCCCCCTCTCTCTTCCTTTGCCAGTGAGGGCTCTGCATGCTTGAGTGTTGCTATATGCAATAAGTGCTGTAAACTGAAGGAGGACTTGGTGTTCCTCCTTTTCTGATATGAACTCCTCTAGATGTCAAGGTTCCCCTTTGCTATAAGGCTGCTTGAATTTAGCCACCATCTAGTTAGTGCTGCTTACAAGTCCTACTTTCTCGTATTGCCTCAAGTTCTTTGCTTTTAGCTCGTGAA